GAACTACAGTCGGGGACGGCCGCGTGGACGGAGGCCAGCTGAAGCAGCTCATTTGTTAGTGTAATTATTCAGCTGTTGACTTCAGTGTATGGGACTGAAAAGCTGTTGTTCACACCTGCAATGTGTTATTTGTGTGATAAGCCGTTCAGATCCACTGGAAGCAGAGAAAGCTTTCAGCTCCTGGAAGTTTTTCATCTGCGAGCTGCTCTGTCCTCTGGTCCTAAACGACTGCAGTGGAAACTGATTCTACAAAGAGGATGGAGGTCTAGTGTTTATGCAGTCCAGGAACATCCGTGCCCTTTGTCGTGTTCTGTCCACAGTTATTTGGGGAAATGGGATTCTGGGCTGCAGTAGAAGCTCCCGCTGTGCCCCGGGGCTGCTGGGAGATCCATTCAGCAGATATGATTGGTGCCTTTGCACAGGCTAATAAACAACTCCACAAGCTGCACAGATTTCTTTGTTGCCCTCGCCTGCACGCTGAACAAATAAGCAAAACATAACAGCTATTTCCTGATTGTTTTCTACACTGTACTACCTGTGTATGGAGCGTAACATGTATTAAAGTATATGGCCTAACCTGAGGGCGAAGCGTGATATCCACCCTGTGTTCTCAGCAGACCGTCTGTTATCACGAGCTCTGATCGTCCACGTTCCCTCAAAGCAAAGAGCTCACGTCACTGCTGAAACACACCAGGCTGCAGGTCTGCAGCCACATTCAGACAGTGTATCCAACTACAACAGGGCTGTCCAACTCCAGGCCTCGAGGGCCGGTGTCCTGCAGGTTTTAGGTCTCACCCTGGGTCAGCACACCTTGACCAAATGATTAGTTCATTCCCAGGCCTCTGGAGAACTTCAGGACATGATGAGGAGGTCATTTAGCCATTTGAATCAGCTGTGTTGGATCAAGGACACATCTAAAAGCTGCAGGGCACCGGCCCTCGAGGCCTGGAGTGTCACACTCCAGGCCTCGAGGGCCGGGTGCTTCAGACCCAGCAACACACTCAGACAATAACTAGAACTGAAGAAGCTTCTTGGATAAGAGGTGAAACGTCTTCAAGCAACTTAAAGAAGTCCAGATGCTTTTCTTTCCGCGCTGTGTGCAGGTTTTCTGCCTGAACACATTTACAGGTCACATGCTCCGATGCTCAGCCCCAGACTGAGCTTTCATTGGTTGTTTGTTCACACGCTCACAGTCTGTGCAGTTTAGGCTGATTTCTTTGGATATTGATGAGTTCAAATTAACGTTTGACCCAAATGGCAGCAGCATGGCTCTCTTCCTGGTGCTGCTGAAGGTTGTCACTGTCCTCCTGGCTGAGGTCAGCATTATCTTGGATTCCAAAAGGTTTCATGCCATCCCACAGAGGTCGATTATCTTGTTAACAATTTCACTTCTTTACTACATACGAATCTGCTCCTCTGACAAAGAAATTCTCACATCAGAGGTATAACTTTCAAACACTCACCTTAAAGCAGATGACTCGTAAGCTGGAGAGTCACAAATTTAGAGGATCATCATTTAGCCTGGAGAAATAGTTTGTTGCTTTATAAGAAAGCCCTCC